ACATTCCACCACTTGGGGAGGTAGCATATGAGCAAGAAACAATGGTACTGAAGGAAGAAACTTGAATTTAGAGACCCATTAAATGGGGCTCCTCTGAAAGCATCTTTTCACTTTCACAGTGATCAAGGAAATATCGATTGTAATATTGTGGTTTTGAGCAGGTATTATTTTATTTTTCGTAAAAGTAAGAGCAAGTCAAAACTTAAAACACTTGTAACTAAAATCATGTAAGAGCCCTCAGAGTCTCCTTCTTTAACCATTTACAATTCTATTCTAACAGAATATTAGAGATTGAATTGAACAGTTTGGGTCACACAGCATAGTACTGGGAAGTCTTCCAGAGGGGCAAGTGAGTCTGGGAGTTTGAACATACTCTATCTTTTAATTCTCAAATGACAGTTCCCACATCAGCCAAGGATTTTAATTAGTCTTTCAATGGAAACAGTTGGAACTTGAACCCAAGGGATTTGTCAAAACTACGTTAAACACCAGGGACCAAGTTTCTCTAGGGACCATTGTACAATTCAGTCCTTCTACCAGTTCACTTGTGTATACAATGAGCTCCCAACTACCTTGTCCAACCCATATTCCCTGCCTAGAAAGAACACAATTATATGCGTCCACTTTTATAACTATGTTGACATTTTTTATTTTGAAATAAACTGCAAATATAACTTATATTTTTGTCTGCAGGCAAGATCATGCCAATATTTAAAATGGTTTAATTTTTAAATGCTCATGTCTATCAGAATGTACAAAGTATGAATCTAAGAAAATTGGAAGTTTTCAAAAATCAAATGGAATGCATAAAGATTGATATCCTATCTGGCCAACCAACAGGAAAAGAGCTATATCTGGGCCCATTCAAAGAAAGATCATCCAACAAAATGCAGAAATTATCCAACTCTGTCATTAAGATCATTTCAGTACAATGATACTGAAGAAAAAGTTTAAATGGCTGCAGTAATATATTTGCGGGAGCTGCCAGAAGTTCAAGATGGGGTCCGCCTCGACATGGCTTGAGGGCTATCACTGACGCCTTCAGACTGTTCTCGGCCCAAAGCAGAGAGTAACAGAAGCTATTTACTTGTGCTTTATTGACCATGTAAAGACAATTGACTGAGTGGATCAAAACAAACAATGGATGGACAACATTGAGAAGAATGGGAATTCCAGAACACTTCTGTGTGCTCATGTAGATCCTGTACATCGATCAAGAGGCCCACATTCAAACCAAAGAGGGGAACCCTGAATGATTTCAAATCAGGAAAGGGGTGCATCTGGGCTGTATCCAATGTGTATGCTGAACAAATTATCCTAGAAACTGAACTAGATGAAGAGAAAGGTGTATGAACAGCCTGGATTACACAGTTGACACAAACGTGTTTGCAGAAAACAAGGATGTCCTAAAGCGCTTGTTGATAAAGATCAAAGACTACAGCCTCCAATAAAGAGAGCAACTGGATATAAAGGAAACAAAAATCCTCAAAACTGGCCAGTAGATAACATCATGAGAAACAGAGAAAAGGATTCATTGTGTTGGAGCCTTCCTGCAGTGTTCACGGAAGTTGTAGTCAAGAAATCACAGGCCGCACGGCATGGAGCAAATCTGCTACCCAAGACCTCTTTAAAGCATTCACGATCCGTGATGTCACTTTGGGGACAAAGATGTCCCCTGGGCCAAGCCACAGTATTTTCCGTCGCCTCATATGCATGTGAAAGTTGGACACTGAATAAAGTGCACTGAAGAACCACTGATCCATTTGAAGGGTGGCGCCGCCGGCAAAGAACATTGAACGAACCACACGGGCTGCTAGAAGAGCGGACGAGCCGGTCTTGGCAGAGAGAAAGCTGGAACATTCCTGAGAGGGCGTCAGCTCCTGTACTTCAGACATGTCCTGAGGAGGGCCGTCCCCGGAGAAGGACGTCATGCTTAGGGAAGGAGAGGGTCCATGAGACGGCCTTTCACATGGCAGCAGCCAACGGCTCAAACGACACTGATGAGGACGGGCCGGGGCAGACCGGGCAGCGCTCCCGCCGTGGGACACACGGTGACTGTGAACGTGAACCCACTCGGTGGCCCGCAGCAGCAGCAACACGGTTTTGGCTCATTCCTTCTTTGAGTGGGAAATCACGTACAGCTGACCACTTAAAGAGGTCTGACCAACGGAGTTTTAGTTGAAAGTGTTCCACAAAACAGCCCTCTCTTGTCCCAGGCAAGAGCTGGACTTCAAATGCCCCTTTTCTTCCGTGGTTTTCTCTAAGCTTGCTCTCAGAATTATCACCTTCGTCTAAAGTGCCCCAAACTGAACATATCTCTCCGCGAAACTCTCGAGTTCCACTCGTGTCACAGTATCAAACCTCTCCCAGTCACTGGGACTCAGAACCACGTGGTCATGTTGCGTTCTCCTTATCCTCCTCTTTGGATCTCCCATCCACTTAGCCCTGAAATTCCGGCTTTTGAAAATGATCCTCTTTACAATCATGGATTTCTGTTGAGGCCAAAAGTATCACTTACTAACTTACTCACTTTCAGCCCTGGGTAACCTTGCAAATTTCACAAACTTGCCCTGATGCTGAAACATACTCCCCCCAAATGCTTAGCGTGAGTCCCGGGTCCTCTCAGCAAGGGCTCTGGTACTGCAGGTGAGATCTAGCTTGCTAACCACAAGGTCAGCAGTCCAAACCCCCAGCTTCTCCCTGAGAGGAAGACGGGTAGTCGTCTGCTCCCGTAAAGATGCCCAATCTAAGGTCACTGAGTTGGGATGGGGGCAGGGGATTGGGTTCTTGTTGTCTCCTCGCAGGAAAGTATCTACCTCACCACCGTGAGCAAGTACCGGCCCCAACCAGGTCTGGCCCACGGAGCCCATGAAAAAGGGGCAGTCTAGACCTGCAGTTGACCACGGAACAAAAGAACTGCCCTCAAGGAACAAAAAGTCACAGGGAAGAACGTCACCAGGCCAACTTGGACCTTTAGAAGCCAGAAATCCAGTAGCCATTTCCTTACCAAAATGTTTAACCCTACATGCAATACATATTTATGATTTCTCAAAATCTATTAAATATTCATGACTTCCTTCCTGCACTTCCTGGTGTGTGGGTACGAAATAGAAACGCCCCTTGGCGGGAAGCGTGCCTTGGCAATTCTGATCAGGGCTTGCTCCTTGATAACCACAGTAGAGCTTTCCTCTTATGATTCCATCCAGTCTCTTGGTTTCTCAACTGGGTGAAGTGACGAAAGATGGTAACATGTGCCAATATTCCTACTCTGCTGAAGGCCCGCATTACCCTAGATATAGATTATAGTTATCCATACCTATTCTCTCTATCTTCCCATTGTAACAACTATCTTGTACACTGCTTGAGAAAAGAAACAAATCCTTTACCACAAACTCGATCCTGGCTCAAAGCAACCTTCTAGGACAGAGCAGACTGCCCCATAGGTTTTCCGAGTCTGCAGTCCGTATGGGAGCAGGGCGCCACAGCGTCTCTCCAGGAGCAGCTGGTGGGCATTTTTACTCAGTTAATCCCAACAGGTTTCTTAAGCACACCAACATCTAGGAACCTAGCAGGATATGACCTAGAACAGCATACTTAGTCAAAAGTACTGCTATCAATGCATTCTGATTCATGGTGACCCTACAGCGCAGGGCAAAACTGCCCCTCAGAGTCTGTGGGAGTAGCAAGCTTTGTGCTTTACCTGGTAAACTTAAAGCACGGGAATAACGTGAGAAGGTCTAAGCAGTGGACAAGAGAGCTCTGGTGGCATTAGACTGTTAACCTCAACGTCATCAGTTCAACTCTATCGGGCACTCCAGGGAGAAAGATGGGGCTTTCTGCCCTCACAAAGATGAAGAGTCTCAGGGTCACTCTGAGTTGGAGTGGGCTCGATGGCAGTGCTGTTAGTTTGGCAGTTTGGTCAGGAAGGCTGGAAATATTTAGCAACGTGAAACTCCAAGCACACGAAAGAGGTTGAAAAGCTGTGGGACTTTTCCCCTCTCCGTTTACTTAGCTGTCTTATTAGAGCTCTTTTTCTGCTGCTCACTCTTTGCCTTCAAGTCCAACAGGAGTTCGATTCAAAATAAATCAGAAGGAATTTTTATGAAATTAGTAGAACAATTAAACAATCTAGCTTCAGATTCCCAATATCCTAAGCTTCCAATATTTCCAGGTAATAATAACGCATCTCTAAACCATACCAGCTGGGTTTATTTCCCTACATTAATCCTTGTGACTT